CCAAGCTGACTGAGCTTGTGCTGTATTGTAAAATAAATAAATAAAAGTTATAGATGTGCAAGGCTGGTGGAGACATATCCCACAAAACATGTAGCTGTAACTGCAGCAAAATGTTGCTTTGCAAAGTATTGGCTCAGGGTGGCTGAATACATATGAACATTTATCAGATTTTTACTTTAAAAAACAGTTGTATCATTTCATTTCCATTTTACTGCAATGCTTCACTTTGCATTTATCTGTTTATGAAATCACAATAAAACACACTGAGGTTTGTGTTTGGGACGTGACAAAAAGGAAACAAAGTGAATGGTATGAATACTTGTGCATGGCATCAATAATAATTAATTGCTACACATACAGATTCACTTAACCTTTTGTTCATTGGTTTATGCAAGTATGTTTGGATGTAAAATTTTAGAAATATTACATATTTTTTCCCTGAAATGTTTTTTTCTTGCAAACATGAACTACATTCAATAACAAAGAAGAAAACAAGAGCTGCTGAAAATTGGAAAGAGATTTGATAACAGCCAAGATCGCTGATAACTGTGCAGAAATCTTTCTATTTGTTTTTAATGTAATATGCACTTATTTTCATTGCTTTAAGTGAATATTAATTAGTTTTATTTTTGTGTTAGAGCTTCACAATACATAGTTTTAATGTGTGGAACTTTACAAAAGACTGCTCGGATTTAAAACAATGATGAGTAAAGTTTCCAATAACGTACGGAAGCAAAACTTTATAAGATACTGAGCTGTTTGCTGCTTGCATCAATTGCAAAATTAGACTGATTTACGCCAAAGGTCTTTATGCTCAATTTCAGTCATTCATGCTGTTAATTAAACCCGACCGCAGTGAAACTTCTGTGTGAAAGATTTATGGCCCCAAATCGACCCACATGTGCAGAAGAATTACGATGACGTCACACAGCAGCGCGTTGTTTACGGAAGTAACATGCCATCTGTGGATCGATTTGAAAGTTTATTCAGCAAAGGAAGCCGATCGTATTGTTACAAGATCATAACACAAATTTAAAAAAGCAAAAAATTTTTGTGTAGCATTGACTACAACTTTTTTAGAGAAGTTTGATGAATGTATAGTAAGAGCCAGGGGTAAGAGTGGAGTGATGTGCTTCAGACTTCTATGTTCATATTCATAATTTTCATACATTGTTTACATCAATGACATGAAAGTCGGATAAAATACAACACTGTTCAGACTGAAGGTGCTTTGGAAACATGGTATATGTTTCCAAATTAATTCCACATATGAAAGTGGCACAGATTGACATTTTTTGGGGTGATTTGAGCTGCATTTGCCTATTGTGTGAATGTTACCTTAGAGTTTGAAGTTGACCAACTGGTGTCTGAATTCTCTGTTTTATTTTGGCTTCCGGTGTCAAAGTTTGCATTCATCTTCTTTATTCCTTCTTTCTTCACCAACTTTCCCCTCCTCACCCCCTCTCTGTTCTGTCTTTCTGTCCCTCCGTCTGTCCCCTTGCCCCCGTCCGTCCTTTAGTCTCACTGAATGGGTCTGCAGAAACCGCCGTTCGTTTGGCCACTTTCCTCCTAAGCCACAGCACACTAAAAAGCTCTCAGGGCAGAAGCAAAGACCTTGACTGCTTTTTGAAGCAGGCTGTCGCTGTATAATCGGTTAGCTTCTCTCAGCGGAGGGGGCAACACACACACACACACACACACATCTACACACACACACAGCATAAGAGGCAGGCAGCCCCTCATTACCGGGCAGAGCCCTGGTCCCCGAGGACTGGACCCAGCACCTAATCCTGTATTTGTTCTTGGGGACTGTATCTGTGATTCTCCATTGAATGGAATATTAAGCACCCAGGTCTTTTGTGGAGCGTGTAAGCCATTTGGCTCCACTCATCTATTATTTATCAGCCTGGCAAATATTTTATCAGCCTTAGCCTCTCATGACCCACTCTCATGTGAAGCTCTCCTCTAAATGAAGAAAAAACGGGGGGTTATTTTTTTTTTTCCTTTCAATTTATCTCCCATTTTACTTTTTGCCTCATTTGTTCTAAAACCTGGACAAGGACGCAGGGATTTGTATTAATCTTAGAGTTTTGAGAAGCAAATATGTGAACTATTCCTGTGGAGTTCCTTCCAACTTCCTTTATCTAAGGAAGCACACTGTTGCCTCCATTTCTTTGTAGATAACAAATAAAAGAGGAGCGTAATCTAGATTTGCGTTATAAATCATAATCCAAGTTTCGGACTCCCTTTCCCAGCCAGCTCCCCCGAGCCCAGCCACACAGGCTGTGCCGGAGCGAGACAGAGACAGAGAGAGAGAGAGACTTGTTTTCACTTTCAACCTGAGAGTAAATCATGCCAGTTGGGGGGCTCACCTTGAGGCCTAGTGGAGATAATTGGAGTTGGTTAGCGAGGTGTTCTGTGCCATTACCTCCTGGTACCAGCGAATGGCTGGGGCTTGTCTCGCACTCCCAGAGGAGGAATACACCCGCCTGTTGGCTCCTCACTCAGCGTACGTGTGTGTGTGTCTCAGCGTAGGTCCGCAGGCAGATCGGTGACCCCTCTTCATCACGATTTAATGGCCCCTTACTAGATGGAAGAAGGGTGTGATAGTTTTGATAGCCCTTCTTTTCGCCAAGCGCACTCAGTTCAGCTTATTAATATTCATTGCATTGATTTATTTTCAGAATTAACAAAAAAAAAAACAAAGTGTTTGCCAAGAAATTAATCCTGACAGGAGTGTGGCATTGTTGTTTCATTTTCAGACAGCAGGAAGCAGGCATATGCATATGCAGATACACAGAGCAAGACACCAATTAAATGTTGATTAAGTCTTAAGTATTGTGGGACTCTGTGTGTGAAAGACAATAAGAAAGAAAATCATTGCTTTTTGTTTGCCGGCTGATATGAAAAATGAATGCAGTTAAAACAAACAGAGGAGGGGCGGGGGGCTGGACGCACAAACACATGAATGCTTCTTTTCTTTCTGAGACGCCTGAGCTTCATCAGAGGGTGTATTTGGATGCCCCCCCCCCCCCCCCGCCCCCCTCTCTTCATCTTCATCTTTTTCTTCATCTCTTCCTCTGGCTGCGGTTGTTTTCTGCCATCGCGCTCTCCGGCTTTTGGCCGGTCAATTGTGACACTCTGCATGTCAGCGAGCAGGGGGGGTCTCCTGGTAGCTGTGCGTGTGTGATAGTGTGTGTCCGCTTCACACTTTGGCTGTGAAGCTGCAGCGGTATAACGGCGGCTGCTGCTGCGGGGGTCCCGGCGGTATTGGCCTAGCCCGCAGTCTCTCTTGGCTAACTCATGTTTCATTCTTTGGCAATTTGCCCTAATGAAGTCCCGCAGGAGCCCCTCAGACCTCTGTTCTCTTTCCATATTTAATCATGTTATTTTAATCTGGGGGATGAGCTAACGCCTCTGTCTCCTGCTGCGTCTCTCTGTGTATGCATGTGTGAGTGTGTGTGTGCTGCAGGTCATTACTATTGCTGAGTTTTTGTGACATGTCATGTCAGGAAAGGAGGGGGCCGCTTGCTTTAAGACAATGGGAGACGATGACTTTAATTCTGAGTGTAATATTGGTTTGACAATGTAAAAAGGCTTTTTGAAAAGCAATGTCATCTTTACATGATTGCGGCTCATTATTTGTTAAAAACGAGGTTAATTATTCCATTTTTTCCCCAGTCATTTCTCAGTTTTTCTCAGATTTTTATGGCTGCTGTCAGTGCTGTTTTTGCCTTTCTTTTGTTGTCTTTTTTGTGCAGGTCACAGCACAAACCCCTCTTCAATAGACATACTCTGACTTCATTATTTTCTCATTTTTAATAGAAAAACATTTTTTTAGACAAAAAATCAATACAGAGCACAACACTAATTAAAAAAAATGTGGCCTTACATTAGGTCAAAATATTTTCTCTATTTTATACCAATTTCTTTTCTCCTCTACTATCTTTTTCATCAGGGTCCAGGAAACATCCAGCCTGCTTGTTTAGGTTTTAATCTGTTTTTTTCCCCCCTGTTTTCTGTTTTGAGGGAATTAAATTTTGCCAATGATTTCTAAAAGTAATTGTGTCTCACACAATTTTTGTGAATGACTGCTGATTTGAGATTTGATCAGGCAACTGTCTCTGACTCCAAAGAACATGGCAATTTTCTGTCATACTGGCAATATTTTTCTAAGGTTTCCCTTAGAAAAATATATTTATTTATTTTATCTTAGTGAGACACTGCATTCAATAAAATATAAATGAAATGAATTAAAAAGGAAAGTTAAGTGGAAGGAAAAACTGGCCTAAAAAGAAACTGACGATCACAGTCTAGAGAGGACTCTAATGCCAAGCCCGCTCAAGAGTTCAGAGGAGAATCGTAAGGTCTGAAGTGCAGATTGAGTCAGTGTTTCAAGAGCAAAAGCACAAACATACCCAGGAAATGTGCTGAATTGGGCTAAGGAGAAAAAAAAACAAACAAGAAATTTATCTTTTCAGATGAAAGTAAATTTTGTTTTTACAGTAATTTGGAAATCAAAGTTCCCAGTCTGTAGGAGGGGAAAATAGCAATCAGTAAGTCCACATGCCTCATTGATGCAGTAATTCATGCTAAACGAGCCCAGATAAAGTATTAACTGCATAAAGTACAAACTTTTATTTCCCTTTTTAACTGATATTTTTGTCTGTAAAATATGTATTTCATTTGGTCTTCTGTAATGTTTTTGAATTTGGGGATTTCATTTGCAGAAAGCTGAAATCATCAAGACTCACAGAAAGAAAATGCTTGAATTGTGTTCATGTTGTTTCCCATTCTGAATGACAGATTAAAACAAACAATCAATGATATCATTATGTATTGAAATTATCATGCGAGTGCCTGAAATGAAAGCATGTTTTATTAGCCTAACTTTTGTAAGTAATAGTTGCTGTGGTTTTGTTGTGTTTGTAGCAGTGTGAAGACATTTCTCTGTATGTAAACTTGGGCTCACGGTGTCCCCTCCTGAATTCTGTCTGTAGTTAACTGCATGTGTCCACGGTGCAGCGGCTTTGCTCTTTCCGATGTACTGGCAGCACATCTTCATCCCGGTTCTGCCTCCGCATCTTCTGGACTACTGCTGGTAAGCCCGACAACCTCTAAAGCACAAACACAATCATTATCAACTTCAAGAAAATGTTTCTGCTACTATTTCTTTTTTTCCTTCTTTTTCCACCCTCTCCTCTTTGCTGTCCGCGCCTGATGCTGGACCTCGGCATGCAAATAGCCACACACACTGCGTCATGTGCAACAGTTAAGCATCAGTTTTAGCCACTAAGATCTCTGTGTTAGAGCGTTGCCACACATGTTCACACGTTCTCCCACTCAGTCTTTGTGTTTCTGCGCGTACGCCTTCTCCAGCACAGCTCCGCACATAATGAACGGACCAGATCACCTTATTCTATATTTTATGGCACGCTCTCATCATGGTTTGAACTCTCTGAGGGTTTCATTATCTCCCCTCCAACACAAATCCAACAAATCTGATTGGACTTGATTGAAACTGAACGGGGAGCAGAAGTAGTGTCTACAAAATCTGCATGGTTTCAGGTTAAATTTTTATCAGTGCAGACAGAGCGTACATGAGTTGACGTCAGCATGGTTGAATGGGATTGCTTGTACAGTGCAGAACATTTCCAGGAAGGACGGATCATCTCAGTGAAACTATTCTTCACTGACAGGGAAATGTGATTTCCATCACTCTGCAAAGACTCATCATTACCTTATTAAATGACGGGGTGTCCTCCGTTCCCTGATGCGATAACTAAATTACATTAGATGTTCTGTGTTCCTCTACATTACATCTGAAATTCTGCAAGTCAAAGCTGGGCATCCAATAAACACGACAGGCCTGGCTACTTGTTTTTACTCTGTCACTTAAAAGTGATTACAAGCTTTTGGTTTATAAATCACTCTGACCAGAAACACGCTAAAATAAAACACTGTAGGAACATCCAGAAGGCCGCTTCTTTTATTTATGATATTCTTACACGGGTAAGCGGTTTAAAGAGAAAAATTAAAACTTGCATTGAAAGCCAAAGTTTCAAAAAATAATAGTGAAAGTGAAAAAGACATTTTATAAATGCACTGATCTGAAAAAGCCAACAGTTTTTAATATTATTAAAAATGGATTTACATAATCTAATTCAAAAATTTAAACTCATGCATAACTTAAACCTTTTACACACAGAGTAATGTATTCCGATCTACTAGTTTTGAATATTAAGGTAATGAAAAAAACCAAAATTTTGCTTCTCAGAGAATAAGAATATTATTTTTGCAACCTATAAAAATGTTTCAAACTGAAAAACATCTTCATGTTCTGTACAGGGTATGCACATATTTATGGTTTGGGCTCCTTTTGCTGGACTTCAGCTCTTATACACTGTTGTTCGGTGTCTCTTCTTCCTCTTGATAATTAGGTCAGGTTAGCTTTGATGGCCAGTCAAACCCAAAGTTCCCAGTGTTGTGAAACCATATATTGGAGCTTTTGACTGTTCTTGCAGGTGCAAAAACCTTCTGGAAAATGGACACTGGTAAACATGACGAGCTTGAAAATGTCCTTTAAGATCTCCCACTTTGGGTTTGATAAAACACAGTGGACCAACACAAGCCAACAATCATGGCTCAAAAAAATCATTGTGGAAACTTCTAATCCCTTTATGACTTTATAAACCAATCACTGTCCTTTAGATTTCAGAGAACCTTTAAGATAAGTATAATCACACTTAGTGATACTGTTAATTATTGAGTTAAAACATAAAAAAGAGAATCTCAGAAATACTTCTTGGAATGCGTTCAGTCATTTACCGGCTGTCTCAGAGGAGATTCAAGTTGACTGATCAGCTTCCGTTGCTGTCTACGTTCTTAAACTCTGTTCTATTCACACATTAGTGACAGCAGTGTGTATTTTTCTGTAGAGGCAGGAAAAGGGAAACAGCACTTATTGCACCTGGATTCTATAAAAATATAAAAATAACTTCACTGTTCTGAGGGCCTTGGATATAAAAAGGCTTTCTGTTGCCTGTGACATTATCATGTTATGACATCCTGATATAGAAATGAATCTACACTTCAGATTATTTTTCAGTGCATGTTTAGTATTTTGTTCTGTGTTAAGTATTGGCTTAACGTAAATTGTCTTCTTTTTTTATGTTTTGTATCTTCAGTTGATCAGTCTGGATTATCAGACATGTTTTTCTCACAGATTAGTGTATAAATATGCACTAATCAATGATACAAGACAAAGACTCAATAATATACTGTAGAATTTGATTTTTTTTCTTTTTAATTAAACTTTAACACTTTTTATCTGTAAAAACATTAACCAGCATGTAGTTGGAAAAGTTTAATCATATCCTTTGAAGTATAAATAGGATTAATCTATTCTCCCATTTTTTGTTGCTTTAAAATCTGCTACTTCTATTAAAGAACCTGCAGTATAATCTGTTTTTATCTTTTATATCTTATTGTCCTTAGCAAGACTTGGTCAAATCTAAAAGAAAACAGGAAACTGGTATGTGCCTGGAAAAATCAGTGCATGTCTTATTCATGAATTTTGGAAAAAAGCAACAGATCCATATAGTGAAGACACTTAAATATTTAGTGACTTAAATTAGTATAAAATGACTGAAAGGTAGATGCTATTTTCCAATTAAACATTGCATCTGTATACTAACCGATGTCTTGTACTTCCTACTTCCTCAGTGCTCCAATGCCATACTTCGTGGGAGTTCACTATAGTCTGCTTGAGGTATGTCACCTGATTAGTTTATCCATGCATGTGCTACAAATGTTGATGTAAAAAAAATCAAGATGCTCCCTGAATGTCCTGTGTTTTGAAACCAGGGTTTGAAATGTGTAAACTATGAAGACCGATTGTGGTTACTCATTGCTAATCCAGATGTTTTATTGAAATTTGGTGTCGCACACAAATGACGACTCAATTCTGAGTTTGTCGAATATTTAAGAGTTAATTCATCATAAATTAAACAATGCGACTTTTAAAAATCCCAACTTTTTACACTTTCACATCTTTTCCTTTTTTCTTTCTTTTTTTTTGTCTGTTTCTGCTCTGTCTACTGAACCTACTGTGCCTTTGCTTCTGAACCAGAAGTACAGAAGGCAGAGACAGAAAGGCAGAAAAAGCATCTGCAAACAAAGAGCTTTTCTTCTTCATTGTTAAACCCTGTGTTGGTTGGGGAGCAGGCCGTCATCAGTGCAACTGTTTCATGTGAACGCATGACGCAAGAGCCCACACATTTTTGCACTCGTGTGTGAGCGTTAGTTTCTAGGTGTGTGCGTGTGCGTGCATGTGTAATTGCCTATAATGCTATGCACACATGTGTTTGCGTGCATGCGTGTGCATTTGTGTGTGTGTGATACTTGTATGACAGTTGCGGCAGTGGCAGTATTTATCACACTCTGCATCCGTGACAGACCTTCTTTCCGCCACTACATAATTAGTCCAGATCAGCATGTGAACCTCCGCTGCACAGGCTGTCACAAAAGTGACAAACTAGAAATTCACACACTATGCTGCCTCCCACCCCACTCACACACACACAGACACACACCACACCTGCCCATATCCTTCCTGCACCACACTGAAATAATTGTTGAATTTGTCGCCATCAGGATGCGCACGGCACAGCACAGCATCGCTGGGTTGTTGTTGATGCATGATGTTTCTGGTTCTGTGGAACGCGCGCTTAGAGTCCAAATGTTTCCTCTCAGCCCCATTCTTCATTTTCCATGTGTGTGTTATAGTAAAGGTGGTCTACTTTATTTTTTTTTTCCTCCTTTCGCAATTTTTTATTGTTAATTATCAAGCCATGTAAGACTTTCTCTGTAGTGCTTGAAATAGAAAACAAATTCTTTATTTGTGCACAAAGCCTTGGTCCATTAAACTGATTCTGATTCTTAATTTAGTTTGCAACAAAATTTAGGTGAAAGTTGTCTTCAATAAACTGAAGTTTTTTTTCCACTTTACAGGTTTGTTTCTTTCTGTTTTCTTCAATATTTTAGCTCATCAAACATATTTAAACAAATGCAAAATGCAGTTTTGAAATTTGAATAACTAAAACAGAATCTCTGTCACCCAAATCTGACAAACGGTTGTGCTAACTGGGTAGTCTTGCAGCCTACTCCTCTTTGCAGAAGTCTTTTAATTCTGCCACTTTTTGAGCATGAACATTTGTTAGCATCTAAATCTGTGTATTTTTATTCTTTCTTTGAGATTTTCAGGGATTTTTATGGTAGCATATTTTGGATCATTGTCCTGTTCTTATCACACTTGACTTTAAGGTGACAAGCTAATGCAGAGAAACATTCTCCTTCAAAAAACAAAGCAAAAATCAAACTAACCCCACTATGTTTCACTGTAGGTATAATGTTCTTCTCTCAAGTTAGTTTTTTTCCCAGGATGCAACACTTCCCAAAAGGTCCCTTGTTTTCTCAACAAATCACAGATCATTATCTTTTCAATCCTCAAGATCTTTGTTTGCGTATGTTGTATAGGTCAAAGTGTCATTTTGACCTTCCAACTCGTCCTCAACATTGACTCTTACTAAACCTTAGACATGGTGTTTCAACCTTTTTCAGACTGATAGATGTCAATGTCTCCTCTGCTTTTGAAAGTGATCAAGATCAGGACACGATGCGTTGTTCTTCCTGATCGATTAGCCAATAGATTAAGTAACTTGTGTAGCTGTAGCAGGAAACAGAAAATATGGGCAATCTCATGTAGTTTATTCACTAACAGTGAGGGATTTATGGCTATTTTTCCTTTTGACAAATTAAATTATCTTTTGGAAATTTAGGATGAATTGACTTCTGTCATTTTTCTTTGATATGAAAATATGAACATTTAGTTGCGATTAATACATAACAGCATCGAACAGACCTTAATGTAGAATTATGTCGTTTAAGAAGAGCTTTGGACATTTTAGACACAAATTTTTGTTGTAATAGAAGAAAACTTATAAATGATCTATTATTAGTTCTGCTAAAGTTAAGAACACTTTAACAGTTCTAGTTTCAGATTTTTGCAATTTTTGATGTGTTATTAAAAACATTTTTTGTTCTATAAATTGCTGACGAGATTTATCCAAAATTATCCCCCAAAAGTGGCAACTTTAAGTATTTATTTAATAATACAGATTGTCAAAATTTGAGGAATGCTTCTTTTATAACATGAAGTAAGAATAAACAAGTTCATAAAATAATAACTTTACAACACAGTATTTCACGATTCAGCTTGAAAAATATTTTTTTTTGTGCCAGAAAACCCCCGATTTGTTGCAATAATCTGCATTTTCCATCCCAGCTTTCATGTGTCTCAGAAAGTTCTCCCAGCCGTCTTTCCCTTCGCTGTTTGTTTCAGGTGATCACAGAATCATTCCTCATTAAGTCGAGTTTTGCATGCTTGCGCTGTGACTCAACAGACAGTGGAATAAGACAGACACACGCAGATCCAGTCGCTGTGTTTTTCCAAACTCGATATATTATGAAGTTTTCACTCTGTCCACAGCTGCTGTAGATCACACTGAACATTTTGTCTTTCAGAGGGTACGCAGTCGATCACTGGAGGATGTGGTCATTCTGAATGTGGACACAAACACCCTGGAGACCCCGTTTGATGACCTGCACAACCTACCCAGCGATGTGGTGAGAAACACACAACCGTCTCCAACATCTCAGCCTTTTATTGTGTCATTCCACATGCTACACATCAAGGTTATTTTCCCTCTCTCCTTCCGACGTAATCTCGCTCTCACATCTCTGCCCACACGTGCACGCAGATCCGCGCACACACCCACATCCAGAAACTTGTCAAAGTACAGCTCTGTCCCCTCCCCACATCATTAATGACTGCAGCTCTGGCTTCTCAGATTGTGGCTGTCTAAAGTAAACTCCCGTCGCGTCGTATGACGCTTGAAGGCAAACAGCATTCCCCGACCATCAGAGGCATGTGGGAAAATGTGAAACTCCCTTCCCTTCATCTTCATCCATTCTAATCATTATTTCACAAAGTCTTGCGTTGCTGCCTGCCCACTGGCACGTTTCTGAGAGATAGGGGGAGGGAACGAGGCAGAGGAAAGAAAAGAAAAGGCAGAGATGGGTGATTTTGTAGGGGGGGAGAGAGTGGGTAGAAAGGGTCCAATTACCAGTGTGGGCAGTGAAGCCACCTGCCAGCGCATCGTCTCTTTAATTAATGGAGCGCTGACGCTGGTCAGTGCTACAGGAAGCATCGCCGTGGCGTCAGGGTCACTCACTCTTTTACACACACATCCGCAGCCACAAGGAAACAACACATGCGCTTGTCTCCCCTGTCTTGGTGGAAGCAGGAATCTGTTTGTTTAGTTGGTCTTCACAGTGTGTGTATTAAAGCTCCTCTGTGAGGCGCTGGGATCCCAGCTGAGGCGGTGGATGCACTATTACCCACGCTGCTAACAGCATATGCTCAGGTTCCACTGCCTACTGGACTCCTTCCCCCAGCAGCACTACATAATTCAACCCACTGCCCAGCAGACCCCAGACCTGATCACACTCCCACACTTCTCTGGTTCTCCTGATTTAGCACTGCTCTGCCAACATTGACTGCTAGCGCGTACGAACGTCTCTTTACCTCGTGAGTTCTTTTCTCCACTTTATAACATTTTCTGCCGACTTTCAGTCCTGCCTGCCTGCCTGCCTTATTGTTTCCCCGGCTGCTCGGGTTTCATGGCACCTGTCTGCCTACGTGTCTCTCTCGCAGTACTTCCCGCCAACCTGGACGTCTCTTGCACCCGCTGTTTGCTTTCTCATACTTCTCTGCCTGTGTGCCTGTCTGGCTGCAGTACCGTCTTCTCACTTCCTGCCTGCTCGCTTCTCTGCACCTGGGGACTAAAGCCCTAAATTAAATTGCAAACTGAGTTTGTCATAAAAAGAGTGGAGGCTTTTGAAAAGCGACAGAAGCAGAGAGAAAAGCCTTTGTCTTTTTTGCCGTGTGATAAATTAAGTGGCAGGCTCAGTGCCTTTTTCGCTTTGATCCCCTGCTCACCAATTTTTCTTGACTAATGACAGAACATAGCTCGCATATCATGTCAAATTACAGCACCTGAAACAGAAACTTTGCTGGCATTAATATATTTATCAGAACAAATTGTTGTTGTTGTTTTTTATTCCCATACAAGTTTTTTTCTCTCCCTCCTGTCTCCTCTTATCTACTCACAGAGGCTAGTAGATTAATAACAAAGCGAGCAGGTACTAATTGAGTGGAATTCCAGGTCTCTTGTTCGTTAGCTTGTTAGTGATGAGGACATGCCACATGGCATTTGATGTTAGTGTTTCCACACATGGAGATGTTACAGGCATTGTGCTGTTTGCTGAACTGGGGCCTGATTTTCTGATTAATGCCGAGCGCTTCTCTGTCTCCGCGTCGTTTCGTAGCTATTAAAAACCGCATTTTATTTCTCTCCAGTTCTCATTGTAACACCGGCTACTTAACACGCCAGTTTATTCAGAGTGAAGCCCCGGCCCTGAGACCTAAGGAGTCGCAGCGATCCTCACTCGCAAACCCCCCGTGTCACTTTCTAAGAATATATGCAGCACGACATGAATTAAAAGGTAAAGGCTACAGGCAAAATGTGTCTGTGTTTTAGGTCCAACTGTGATGGAAAACAAAACACCTCTGATGTTGATTTAAACAAACCTTTAGAGATCCTTGTAATTATGGCAGCGCAGGCTGTGAGCACATGTGGGCTTGGTTAGGCGGCCCGGCTGACCAGTGGCCGTGCTTTTAGCAGGTTCAGAGTTCACAGTTGTCCTGAATTAGCCGCTCCCTTTCAGACGGGACCCCTAGCCCAGCTCCACAAGTGCCCGCCCCATAACGGCCTTTTCTCACAGTTTCACACATAATATTTCACATTTATTGACTATTACAAATACTAGTAAGCTGGTAGCGGTTCCGTTTTGCAAAGGAAGGATAGATCTATTGAGAGAGTAATTATTAAGGGGCGCAAAAGGAAGCTGTGATCTTCTGAAATTAACTTTGGGAATTAAATTACTGATTTATTAATATTATTGTTATCTGAACTCATTCAGTTAAAAAGAACATATCCAAGAGGAGCAGGAGGAAGCTAAATTATTCTTACATCCAACCCGTTCTACTGACTTCCTTTTTTTTATTTCCTGTTTGCTTTTGTTATTTTAATCACATTTATACATGTGCATACCATACATAACTTAATTTCTACAGAGATTTTTCCATTGGTTATTGAGAAGGGTATGAATAATTTTCAACATTAAATTTTTTATATAAAATGTAAATAAAAACATGAGTTTATTTTGAAAAATAAAATTTCCTTTTAGATGGTTTCTCCATAGGTTTGTCTAATATCAGGTACAACTTCTTGGTTAAATGATATTAATTTTAAATCTAAAACTGTCAGGAGTATTAACACTTCTAAACATCCTCATTTAGCTATTCTGTGCTGCATATTTACTAACTATGAAAACCATTGTGACTTTTGGGGGGCAAAGCCCAGTAGTAATGCGGTGGAGCCTCTTTTGCCAAGTTAGCTGTTAGCTTTAGATGTTTGGTGTGAATTAAGTTGAGGGTTTGGAATATACTGGCAATGTTTGGGGTTAGCTTAAGTGTTTTGAGTTATGCATAAATGAAGTACCTAAAATAAACAGAAACCAATGCTGCTTCCTAATATGGATAGAAATACAAACGTGTGTGTGTATAAATCTATATTCCTACACACTGTAAAACAGTTTAATCAAACGAGCGTCATTTAGAGTCTGCAGTTCATCCATTCTGCATTTCAACGCCACATCTAGATTAATTGAAGTTTTTTACACAATATCCTCCATCTCTACTGTATATGGACCAGTGTCCATATACAGTAAGAGCAGTGTCCATTATTTTATACGAAGTGAGTTTGAATATTTTCTGTCTTAATAACTATTATTACTTGATTTCTATGAACAGGTTTTGACGATGCTTTTTTTCTGCAACTTGTTAGTGATCATAGTTGATTTATAAGTACTGCTTCTCAGTTCAAATACAGTTAAACAAGTAGACGCTTTGTTTGAAGTGATTTGTGGTACTGAATGTGCTTTATTTTATTTACTAGACATATGCTCCTTGATCTTAATATTTTATATGTGATGAATAACATAAACTGTGTTGTACTTTATTATAGCCAAAGCACCTTTTTATTTTGTACATTTCCGAGTATGTTCCATATACAGCAGCTCTTTCTTTTAAACCAGATCAAAAAAATACTTTGATCTGTAAGCGTTAAAATATTTCTTACTGTTGGAACTCTACAAATTTATTTATTTTTTTTCTTATTTAAATAAAAAAAAATCTTGGACACAAAGCCCCGAGGAACACCAAATGAACTTTAATAGGAAATGGTGTCAAATAATCCAAAGATTCTGCACTTTACTGTTTTTGCGCTACAGTTATTCAACGTACAACGCCAGGCTTTGAGATAAAAAGTGAAATAACAATGTGCATATCTGATAATAGTTAAAGGTCAGCCATGCAGATTCTTTAATGTTCTCTTTATTGTGTGAACAGCAGTGTAGAGCTAGGGTAGTCTTTGTTCTCTTTTTTGAATCGCTGTTTTTTCCACAATTATTTGAATAAATTGTTGGGAGAAAATAGAGCATTCTTTAAACTTGGGATTATGTGTTTTAGCAGTCCTTTGCATTCCTGAAAACTCGTGAAGTTCAACCAAAAGTTGCAATAGTTCCCTACTTTTTTTAATCTTTGTGACACCATGCTTTGTCAGTAAAATCAGTGTGTTGACAAGCACGCTAAGAAGAAATACTCAATAAAACAAAAAAGATCAAGGTATTTTTGTTGCTTTTTGTAAGATCCACATCTCCTCTCCCAACTGGAGACTGATAAAGTTATAATTGACTTTTGGTTGGTGAAGTTGTTTACCTCGCTAGTCATTAAAACTATCCAAGAATAGCAAATTAGGAGTCGGTTAATTCTGAAAACAAACAGCGTGTGACTGAATGAGGTTTTTATTTGATTCTGGCAATTGATCTCAAACCAATGACAGATTTTTTTTCATGTATTATTCTTTCTGTGGCACACATTCAAGTTGAGGATCTACAATGCAGCTTATATCTTTATTTTCAGATGCTCCCTCTCTCTCCCTCTTTCTCACACATCACAAACCTAATTCCTTCTATTCTCCTCCTCTCTGCCGCTCGCTGCTTTGCTGACATCGTGTACCCATACAATCCTAGCCCTCGTACATTTGATCATTTGTATTCCCAATCAAGGGAGGTGGGAAGGGGGGATTTACAGCACACACTCCTACTTCCTGTATTTCAAGCCCGCATTTGGAGGTTTACAAATGAGTGAGGGGGTTGAGACTGTGTCTGCCGCGCCTCTCCTGAGATCACCTGGCACACTTAATCAAACATCGCGGCTTTAATTTGGGCGCTCACTTTCTGGGGAGCAACATCTACATCATCAGCTACTACAGAGCGCAGCAGACGGCAGGCAGCGCTCACATGTAGGTGCACAGATGCACTCAGGCACTCCTACACGCTGTCAACCGGGAACGTTCATCAGTGAATCTCGTGTGTCGCTTAGGAGGAAACTTTTGCCACTATTTGTTTGTCCATCTGATCTTCTCTGTGTTTGTTTCTAA